GATGTGTGTGTGTATATATAGAGAATAAATCGTCTGCCGTGTCTTTTTTCTGTGTGATGCAAAGGTGAAGGAGGGTGGGTGGTTGGCGTGTGCTCTGGTGTGGTTTGCTCCTTCTTTCCTATCAAACATATATCGTCCTTATCTCTCCTCCTTCTTTTTGTGTATGTTACTGTCTTGTAATACATCTATTCTTCGGCGCCTATATGACCTTATTGTGTTGCAAGTGCCGTAAAACTCTTACTAAAACTAAACCAAAAAGGTGAAGGAGGCCGACTTGATACATATTCACGGGCGCTGTATGTTTGTCTATGACATGTGGCAAAGTGAAGGGTTGGGGTTCTACTCACAGACTTCCATTGTGAACTCTCACCTAGTTCCGGATTTTGTGTGTGTGTGGGGGGAGGGGGGGGTTGTGGTAAGTGTTTTACGTTGCTCGCAACTGCATAAGGTCATATGAGCGCACGGAACACATTAAACATTTTCAGTTGGTTGGACTTTTTGAATTTTGCTCTGGTGGCGTACAGAACACTGCTAGAGAGCAGGAAAGGAGGCGAAAGAAAGGGGACAATTTTGGAAAAGAAAATGTTTCCGTCGCTGCCCGGATTCGAAGCCGGGACCTATTGAATAAGAGGCGAACACCTTAACATCTAGGCCACGAGAGCCCCCAATCCCGGGTCGCCATGATGCGTGTCTGTTGATTTTATGTGACGTCAAATGAAAGGTGAGGAGGGAAAGTCTATTGACTCACTAGGCCATTTATATAACAAAGCTGATGTTTACCCCGTCTTTTGTTCGCCCATAGTGTGAACCAGCGCTGTCCAGTTTTTCCATGTGGCTGAACTGGTTTTTCTTGTTTCTGTGAACTCTAGTTTGCATGATCAAGTGACCGGTCTTGAGCGCTCAGAGCTTATACAATAGTGCGGTCAAAAACGCATAGCGCAACTTATTGTGAAATATCTCCTTACCTATCGAACATAGATTCTCCAACTTTTGCCCAATGATTAATATCAATTTGCCTTAACAAGTGAATATTTTTCTCAAACTCCTGCACACTCTATTCTAGTATTGGATAGAGCGCTATATAAATGCAATCTTTTATTATTATATGACACAGTTGAGCAAAGATCGGAAGACATGACAATGCCAGGTCAAGGATATCCCGCCCATTTCTCGTCTGTCATTGTCTGACCATGACCGATACATCCACAGAGGATAATATTTTGTAAGTGAAATAGAAAAATTGGAAGAATCAACAGTTTTTTGTTTTTTTTTAATAAAAAAAAATTTAAAAATAGTTGGTTTAGTACATTTTAACATCTGGCTGATGAAGTTTACTTTCTGCTAATCCCAAACAAAATAC